AATTTGTTTGATAAAAAATTATCATGATTGTGCCAATATGAAAATTGGATGCTGGTATCCAATAGAGGATATGAAAAATCAGAAATTTTAAAGGACTATATTACAAGATTCGATATACATCAATTTTTAGGATGTCCTACCACTATAAAAGAATCTTGCAAGCTAAGGGAGTGCCCTAACTGCATGTGAAGAAATAAATAAAGAGGACAATAATAGAGCACATTTGACAAAGGTGTATGGAGAACAATAATATAGCTGCATGTGAAGACATTGAAGAAAACGAGCAATAATAGAAAAGGATGTTTTTTTGGATAAAAAGTTGAAACAACATGTGAAGATGTATGCCCAAGTAGGAAAGTAATAGAGTGGCAAGCGTGCCTTTGCTGATGTACTCAATAATATAAGAGAGTCTCATAAACTTGTATAAATAAAGACATTGTCATGGATAGAAATCATCTCATTTTATCTTGAAATCTCGAGTTGTAAGCAATAGTTACTCTTAAAACTATTCCCAGTTTGAAAAACCAGTTTTTCTGGAAATCCCTTTGCACCAAATAGAAGTTTTGTATAAATTTTGATAGAAATAAAAATTCTAATATTTTGATATGAATATGAGTTTCTAAATCTTTATTCCCATAGATTCTTGAAGGATCTAATAAAAAATTTCTTTCTTATTTTAGCAAAAAGAAACTTTTTCTTTAACAGAAGTTTAAAATTTTATTCTTTAGAAATTGATACAGTGAGAGCAAGTGGTTGAAATAGTAACAATTTCATAAAGGCAGGAGGCCGTTGAAGGAAGCAGTTTACAGATTCAGAGCTCGAAGGTCACTCGATTCTAAGAATAAAAGTCCAGATCAAACCTAAGGTAAAATTATTAAACTTTTACTAAAATTAGAATGAATCTTTTTAAGATCTTAAATAATCGTAGGGATTAATCAATAATTATTTGTATGAATAAATGTCAGGATATACAATTGAACGATTAGATAATTTATTAGAAAAAATGTTAGGAAAAATAAAGAATATTATTTCTCAATTAGAAAATATAAATTTACCATTTGAAGAATATAATATTTTAATTAGAAAATATGAAATATATGTTGCATAATATTCTTATTTATTAGATCATAGAATGAATTTATATTCAAATATTCAAAATAGAAGATAAAATGTTTAAAAAATTAGGATATATGTTGCAATATAGAAAGAATCATTTCATTAAAGGTAATATAGACCTTTCAATAAAAAAGAATAGTGATAAGTCAAATAGAAAAATCTCCCAACTTTTTTCCCTATCTGCGTTCCTCGAAATGGTTTGTATCTAAGGCTTAGTTTGATTGAAAGAATAAAATTTGAGTGGAAAAAAAAAGAATTTCAGGGAATTGAATTATTTAGAATTTGTTTTTCTGAAAATTGTCAATTAAAATATGTTTGATTGGTATAATTTTCTATCTGAAAAATGTTGAATTTTTGGATATTTTAGTGTTCATTTAACTTTGTTTTCCATGAAAATCGTTAATTAAAGAGATAGAAGTCATTACAATTGTGGATAGAATTTGTTTCCATTACCAAATTTATTTATTTTTTTGAAAGAAGGTGGAAAACTAATTTCCCACCAAACCAATGAGAATTGGTTTTCCACAAAACCAAGGAAAATGGATCACGTGAGGGGGAGGAAAATGAATTGCAGATAAAAATTTTGCAATCAAATAACGAAAAAAGTGGAAAATGAAAAAAAATTTGATGAAAAATTAATCGAATCAAACAGGCCCTAAAATTTTCGCTAAACTAAAATAAAATGACAAAGTGCACTCAAATTTAAACATTCAACGTAATAGATGAAAAACAAAGTTGGAATGAAAAAGTAAGAGAACAAAAAGAATACCATAATAAAAAGACTTCAAAATCTCCCAACAAATCAATTCTAACAATCCACCGTTGTGTATGTTGGAAAAATAACAGAGTGATGAATTTAAAAAATTAAAACAAGCTTACCAACCTTACCTAAAATTGAATAGCACAACGGCAAAGATTCATGCGTTTATGTTTTTATGACCAAAAATTGTTTCTTGATTTTCATTTCAAATTGTTCTTTGGACTTTTTATCAATATGATCAACTACTGTTTTAGGAAGGCTATTAAGGGAGAAGTGCCATGCCACTTTGTTGGTGGATGATTGATACATACGGGCGCCTCCACGTTGCACTGCGCGTTAACAGCAAGGCTCATTGTCATCTGGGATAGGGGTTGGTGAAGTCCTTATGTCGAGAGGGAGACCTTTAGCATTGGAGAGTCGCAAATTGACGGGAAAGATGGGGATCTTAATACCAACCTATAAGGAAAAATATTTCATAAAGATAACGTAAAATATGCCACAAAGATAATGCAAAATGAAGTGAATGCAAAAAAGTCAATGCAAGAGTTGAATTATTTGTCCTTAAGTAGATTTTGCCCTACAACTGTTCCTACGAATGATAGCAATCAAATCTCAATATACAATGACTATTTTCTTGTGTTAGTAGTACTCCAAAACACAAGTCAGAGAACTAGAAATGGATTTCGTACTCCTTTTTAATGAACGAAAGAGAACCAGAGTTTATGTAGAAATTTGGTAGAGAATGAAGAAAGTAATATTATACTGTAATTGTGTATCATTGGGATAAAGAAATGGACGTCCAAATGGTCCTATTTATAAAGGGAAGAGATTGTAAGTAAAGAGACGCGGCCCAAAACTCAGCAACCTTCGCCAAGGGTCATAGCTTTTCCTGTTGCTCGCTTGTCCTTTTTGCATTGCTCGAGCGTAAAAAATAGAGAGCATGTCGCTAACTTGTTGCTAGAGCGACAGCCTCACCGCTTAAGCGCAAGGCTAGCACTAGGTGAGTGGCGGAATTGGTTGATTTTCCAGCCAATTTTTCTGCTTTCTTCCCAATTTTGTAACGTAATTTATTATTCATCCGGAATTTGTTTTGAGATTCCAAATATATTATGACGATTTACTCGATGAATAGAATAAGTTAGTCTATTCATAATTATAATTTGAGTATCGAATCAAGTTCGAATATTTGGTCGAAATTGACACGAAAGTCACTTTTCCCATAATTTATACTTAGGGTCCGTTTGATTGCAATGATAGAATTTGGGTAGAAAGAAAACGAATTTCAGGGAATTAAATTACCTAAAACTTGTTTTATTGGGAATTGTCAATTCAATGTGTTTGATTAATATAATTTTTCACTTGAAAAATATTATAATTTTGTATCTTTTGGTTTTCATTTGACTTTGCTTTTCATGAAATTTGTTGATTAAAGGGATATAATTTATTATAATTGCGGATAGAATTTGTTTCTATTGAAAAAAAATGAAACCTAGAAATTGATTTTCACCAAAACCATAGGAAATCAATTTTCCACAAATTCATGGAAAATGGGTCACGTGATTTGTTTCCATTGCCAAAAATAAAAAGAAATGAAACTTGGAAATTGATTTCCCACATTGATTTCCCACCAAAACCATAGGAAATCAATTTCCCCAAAATCATGGAAAATGGGTCACGTGGGTGGGGCGAGGGAAAACATTTTCCATGTAAAATTCTTGTTATCGAGCATTCCAAAATGGTGAAAATTTTCATGGAAAATGGACATATCAAATAGGCCCTTAATCAATTTCAATAGTGTCTGATGGCACAACTATTGACAACCACACCCTCTTACGGAATCCGGTCATAGGGATGATAAAAGTCTTCGTTTGTACCTTGTCTGGTCGGGATTGACCTTACATCTAAATATTAATTAAAATCGTGTTTAAAAAAAAATAATATAAAAAAATAAATGAATAATATAATAAGGCCTTGTTCGATAGAGACTTTGAGAATTGATTTTTTGACCATTAGAAGAAAAGTGAGGGTCACATATGAGAGAACGTAAAAAATTACGGTTGAAATAGTGAAATAACGGTAAAAAATCAATTTTGAGGTGAAAAATCATTCACAAACACCTCTAAGATGTTAAATGGAGATTTTTACTTGTTCGGCTTCCAAAATTTTTTAATGGATGAGGATGGTAATGGAAAATTCAACCCCACTGTGTTGCGTTGACATCTTTATTAGGTCATTGATACAACTACAAATTGTCGATATCCCCATTCATCTCTTGGCTATTTTGATAGAATCAATATGTTTAAATCAAGATCAATTTGAACGTGTCAGATTGACTTCAACAATATTTCAAGCCCTTAATAGTTACGATTTGCATATAAGTCGTTTCATAGCCCAACAATGATCATGAGTCGGTGATTGGGGATGAAAATGGACGGGGTGATGGAACTTTTGGGTTGAGGAAGATGGATTGAATTTTATGTCTCTTTTTTCATTTTCGTTTTAATTTTTAATTGTTTAAATTCGAGGGCAACTTTGTCATTTTATATCAGTTTAACAGAAAATTAAAATGGACACATTAATCAGGGACAAATTGTTCCAATTTATAGAAGGCTGGGGACATGATTGCTACTTTGAGCAAATGTTGGGGATAGTGCATGCAAAAAAGCAAGTTATTTCTTTTGATAATTTTTTTATTTTTATTTTAAATAGATGTGTTATCCTCTATTTTTTACGTGTTTAAGAGAAGTTACCCTTTTCGGTACCACCTTTGTCATGGATTAAAATAAAAATTTTAATTTAAGTTAAAGTAAATGATTAATTTTAACTACTGGCGAATTCAGCTTCCGGCATGAATACGAGCTAATACCATAAAAAAAAAAAAAATTACTCACAATTTTTTTTTAACTAATTATTATTATTTTTAGAGGGGATTTGGGGTGGACGGACGGACGGACGGGCTGTAGCACTGGTCTATTCGTACCTGAATTTGCCCTTGATTTTAGCAACATATTTTATGGATCATACAATTTTTTAATCACACATTTCATTAATTTTTATTAAAATATACTGAAAGTTTGATTTTAATCCTACCAAACAGTGGCTTAATTCACATACTCGCGATTCCTAAATAAATAAAGCAGTTTGTTTTTTCAATTTTTCCTTCTCAGTTTTGCTCTTTAACTACGCCTTTTGATAATTTCGCTCTTTGTTTCTGAAAAATTGAGAGAATAAAGAGTCAAGAGGTGTTCGCAGCTCGACTCGCAGGATAGCCGAACCGGTTATTGTCTAGCCCTACTTGCCATATTCGACCCAGTACTTTACATATCGGAGATCAAAAATCTCTGGATCTCTATGACTGTATCTGTATCTGTATCTGTATCTGTATCTCTACTTCGTACTTGTAAATAAATAATTAAAAACAAATAAACTCTCATTTTCGTCAAAAAAATTTCACACTCGCATGGTTTGCTGATTATACATATAGAAACCCTAACCCCCAATCTCGTGTAGAACAATAATTAATTACAGAATAACTGGAGTGGATAATTTGAGGGTTTCTTTTGTTTTTTGCGTCCTGAATTTTTTTGGTCAGAATTAATTTTGAAAAGAGGATGAAGCTGAATCCCTATATCAGCTTCACCTTTTTCTGATAAAACTGTTACCGCTACATGGCCAGTTCTCAATCTCAGCATCGCAGCGTTTTTGGTTAGTTCTTCCTACTTGCTCTATCTTTTATTTTAATTATATTACATAAAAATTCTTCTTAGTAATAGTCACAAGAATTATCAGAGTGATGAATTTTTTCGCTTTTTACTGATAATTGTATTGGTTGACATATATAGTTGGGAATATACCGTATGATGCCACTGAAGAACAACTCATTCAAATTTGTGAGGAGGTTGGCCCCGTTGTTTCATTCAGGTCAGTTCAAAAGATTTTGGCTTTCCACTTCTCTCCGGCTATCCCATAATTGGAAAAATAAGTCCTATTTGATTTATTATTGCCCCATGTAAAATACCTCTTTTTTAGGTTCAATCCTCGTGATATTAATTGGTTGCATTGAAGGGGTAATCTAGGAACTTTATAAAGAACACATTACTTTTGGTATCTGGTTGTGAGAGTTGAATTGATCATTTTAGATCCATGTTTTCTAGATATAACTTTTTGGACAAGCGTCCGTTCAATCAAGATGTCGGGATGCATTACTGTATACTTAAATGTTTGAGATGAGTGAAAGAAAATGTACATAGGAAAAAAGTGCAAAGGAGATGGAGGTCTTAGCAATTAATTTTTAAGGCGAAATCATCAGGATATCACCTATATATACAAACATTAGATTAAATGTGCATCCCTAGTTGGTCTAATAAAATGCCAAGGACTTAACTTTTAAGATCTCATTTCTGAGGCCCATAAAATAGAAGCAAAATCTTGGAAAAAGGTGAAGCTTGATGTTTCCAGACATGCCAAAAGCATAAAATATGGCGTGGTTTTGCTTCTGTGCTGTATACTGAAGTTTCATATGGCAATTCTGCTAGTAAGAAGTCAGCCAATTTGCCCTGTGTCCAAACCTTCAAGGGGTTGTAAAACCAGTAAGCAGCGCCATGCTTTATTTGTGCAACAATCTTGCCAGATGTTAGTTTTTGATGTAGAAAATTTGCTTATAGATCACATCAATGTCCAGTTTGTATGGTGTTTTTTCTTCTTCACGTCTTTCTTGTTGATTTATATGCAATAGAGATGCCCCAGGGGGAGGGGGGCGAAGGCCAAGGCCGATTCAATTCTGATGGTCAAATTAGATATGAATATATGAAGTATAATACAAGAGATATCTCAATAAATTTATGCAAGTGTAAGGAGAAATTCTCCTTATGTGTAGGTCTTAGGTGTATTTCCTTGTGTTATCTTTACCTTCATAAGATTATTCTGTCAAAATTGATTCACTTGTTGGTTGGAGGTTTTAATATCTGTGAGTGATGCGATTTTTAGAGTGTTAAACTCATTTGGCACCGTGATCGTATTGACTCTGTGCAAGCAAGATTTGTTACTGAACAAATTTTGTTTCATTTTCTGATCTGATGTGTGCCTGAAGTAATCTTTGAAAGGGAAATGATGCTATATTGGCTTCAGTTGCATATAGAAACGAATGACCTGATATTCAGTGCGTTCTTCAAAGATTTAATTATCAAGAGAATCTATTTTGTATTGAAGTGAAAAATAATCTCAAATGGACTATTCTGTATTATAACTTAAGCATTTATGTCCTTAATTGAACGCTGCTTAAATGATATCCTGCTTCTTTTTTACTCAGATTAGTTATTGATAGAGAAACTGGGAAGCCGAAGGGCTATGGATTCTGTGAATACAAGGATGAGGAGACAGCACTAAGTGCTCGTCGTAATCTTCAGGGATATGAGATAAATGGACGGCAGCTACGCGTTGATTTTGCTGAGAACGACAAGAATGCTGACCGAAATCGTGAACAGGTAACCATTTAGACTTGCAAGGTTTTTTTTTCCAATTTTTGGGGCTTTTCTTTTTCCGGGGATATTTTTCTTTAGTTACTCCAAACACACTTCACTTTTGCTAGAGCCTTTTCAAAAAGCATTGTTTTTCATATCGTACATTTTGTTAATTACACCCGTGCTTATCTGTATTGGTCATACATGAAAATTTTTGGTCTTTAATGCCACTTCGTTGCTGGATTCTTTATATTGTTGTGTACTTGTCAAATTTCCTGTGTTTTCTGAGGATGATTGTTTTTGGGATTTTGCTGTATGTTTATGGCCAAATCTAGGGAGTGGAGAGGCAGAAAATATCACTTAATAAAAAAATTTAGATTCAAGTAATTCAAAGTTTAATAATTTGTAATGCAGTTGGTTAAGTATGAAACCCTGATTAGTATGCAAGTTTTCAGTAGAGCTCAACTGAGGAATTTGAGAAGTTCTAATGAGGAAAGAGATTCCCATGACAATAATTAGGTCAAGCTGTGTAGGTTCAATGTGAAGTAATGAAGACATATTATTAGATCTTTCTTTAAGCCGAAGACATCCTCAAATGAACCTATAATTGGAGAGGGCTAGCACAAGCCCCTTCAGAGTAGAGAGAGAGGTGGTCCATTGAAGAAAATCAAAGCAAAATGCAGCTGGACCTGCTATTAACGTTGGCTTATCTGTCAGTCGCGTTGGGTCTGAAGCTCAGTTGACCCATTAACCTTTTTTTTAAGCAAGAACACCCAACAACTTATTAATGCGAATTGATGAACAAACTCAAGGTTCAAGACTGCCCTGACATGGTTACTTCTATTCAGGTTAGATCAACTCACCTATATAGTTGGTGTTCAATTGATAAGAAATTTATAATTCTGATCACAGCTACTTTAACAAACCAGATCCAGCAATATATTTGCTCCAATTTCAATCAGAGAAACTAGTTTGGTTTTGTGCTGTGACTGTAACTCAGATATGTGGTGTAAATTAATTGAGTTGCACAATGATAATAGATTGTAAACAACCGAAATTTTATTACCAGATAGAACATATTAAATTCAATATGTCTGAAATCAGAGCCTTACAGGAGGACCAGTTCTTGAAGAAGAGATTGTTAATATTATAGCATCACTGTGTTTAAAGAACCGATTTAGATGATGTAAGGTTATCCGTAACTGGTCACTATGTTTTCCTAGTGAAATGCCGACAAAAAAGTAATGTTCTTTAGCACCACTAGTATTATGACATCATTCTAGGAGGCATTATACATCATTAAATGAAAGGTATAATTAAATGAATCACATAATCTCACTTTTAATTGAATCCATCACATAATGCTACATAGACTAGTGCTAGATAGCATTATTAGCTGCAAAATGGAAGTTTTTGATTTGAAATTCCATAGTGTTGACGGATTTTGCAAAGGCTGTATTACTTGATTTAGACAGTGAGTCCATTTGTCCAGTTCATTCCTTAATCCCATAAATTTTACTAAAGATCATATTTGTTAAATATCTATGATATACACTGTTTTTATTGAATATCTCTTATATAATATGTTCTCGTGGCTTACAATCAAGTACAAGAGAACTACACCCATCAAAAAAAAAAAAAAAGGGAAAAGGAAAGAAAGAAGATCAGATAATAATAGAATGAGTCATTATATCTGGGTTTATCTTATAATTTCAGACTATCACCTTATAGCTACATATTCCAATATTACTTATAAAGCTATACCATTAATGCTGGTTCAAATTGGTTAAGACCGACTCTATATCATTGAGGAAAAAGAGTATGAAATGTCAGTTTCACCTCTAATTTATGATGATTGTGTTTTCATGCAGGGTCGGGGTGGTCCTGGAATGGTCACAAATGTTGGCAAGTTTCATTTTTTATTACTTAACATCGCATTTATTTTAAAATCAATTATGTAGTCATAAGTTTTTTTAATCATATTTTCTGCCAATTTTGACTTATAATTATCGCCAATGAAATACAGATCCACAGAAACAATTTGGGGGCCCAGCAGTCAGTGATCTTAGTTTTCATCAGCCATTAGGTGACTCAGATGCAGCTGGACCTGCTATTAACGTTGGCTTATCTGTCAGTCGCGTTGGGTCTGAAGCTCAGTTGACCCATTAACCTTTTTTTTAAGCAAGAACACCCAACAACTTATTAATGCGAATTGATGAACAAACTCAAGGTTCAAGACTGCCCTGACATGGTTACTTCTATTCAGGTTAGATCAACTCACCTATATAGTTGGTGTTCAATTGATAAGAAATTTATAATTCTGATCACAGCTACTTTAACAAACCAGATCCAGCAATATATTTGCTCCAATTTCAATCAGAGAAACTAGTTTGGTTTTGTGCTGTGACTGTAACTCAGATATGTGGTGTAAATTAATTGAGTTGCACAATGATAATAGATTGTAAACAACCGAAATTTTATTACCAGATAGAACATATTAAATTCAATATGTCTGAAATCAGAGCCTTACAGGAGGACCAGTTCTTGAAGAAGAGATTGTTAATATTATAGCATCACTGTGTTTAAAGAACCGATTTAGATGATGTAAGGTTATCCGTAACTGGTCACTATGTTTTCCTAGTGAAATGCCGACAAAAAAGTAATGTTCTTTAGCACAACTAGTATTATGACATCATTCTAGGAGGCATTATACGTCATTAAATGAAAGGTATAATTAAATGAATCACATAATCTCACTTTTAATTGAATCCATCACATAATGCTACATAGACTAGTGCTAGATAGCATTATTAGCTGCAAAATGGAAGTTTTTGATTTGAAATTCCATAGTGTTGACGGATTTTGCAAAGGCTGTATTACTTGATTTAGACAGTGAGTCCATTTGTCCAGTTCATTCCTTAATCCCATAAATTTTACTAAAGATCATATTTGTTAAATATCTATGATATACACTGTTTTTATTGAATATCTCTTATATAATATGTTCTCGTGGCTTACAATCAAGTACAAGAGAACTACACCCATCAAAAAAAAAAAAAAAGGGAAAAGGAAAGAAAGAAGATCAGATAATAATAGAATGAGTCATTATATCTGGGTTTATCTTATAATTTCAGACTATCACCTTATAGCTACATATTCCAATATTACTTATAAAGCTATACCATTAATGCTGGTTCAAATTGGTTAAGACCGACTCTATATCATTGAGGAAAAAGAGTATGAAATGTCAGTTTCACCTCTAATTTATGATGATTGTGTTTTCATGCAGGGTCGGGGTGGTCCTGGAATGGTCACAAATGTTGGCAAGTTTCATTTTTTATTACTTAACATCGCATTTATTTTAAAATCAATTATGTAGTCATAAGTTTTTTTAATCATATTTTCTGCCAATTTTGACTTATAATTATCGCCAATGAAATACAGATCCACAGAAACAATTCGGGGGCCCAGCAGTCAGTGATCTTAGTTTTCATCAGCCATTAGGTGACTCAGTAGCAGCAGCTGCTGCAACTGTTATGGCAGGAGCTCTTGGAGGTGCTCAGACTACTAGCACATCAAACCAGATTGGTTTGCAAAGTCAGCCAGTGTTGGGCACTGATCCTTTAACTCTTCATTTGTCGAAAATGTCAAGGAGTCAGCTGACTGGGATTATCTCGGAGATGAAGGTTGGTTTCTGAATAAGATTCAGATTGCATTAGTGGATGATCTGTCTGGAGTGTGTGAATAATATGCATAGTAGGTAAATAATAACTTTATTGCTGAAGCAGTAGAGTTTACTAAAAAAATAAAAATAAGATTGAAGACAACTAGAGAGCCAAAAATAAGAAAACAATTTCTATCAAGACAAACTAATTCTATTCTCATAAAATAAATTCTCACATGCATAGAAAAGTTTAAATCAGAAAATACAAGGAACCAAAACTGTTGCAATTTATAAAGCTAATGGAAGATAACAAAACTTGGGTGCGGCAGTGCTCGCAAGAGGAATAGGCTGAGCACCAGTAAATCTACCATATTGCAAAATAGGATGTTGTCAATACGTGCTCTCCAGAGAAATCTATTCCTCGTTGATATATATATATATATATATATATATATATATATATAGAGAGAGAGAGAGAGAGAGAGAGAAACATAACAGGGTTTATTATCATGATGATGGCAGGCAATGGCTACACAAAAGAAGGAGCAAGCACGGCAACTATTACTTGCCAGCCCAAACTTGTCTAAAGCCCTTTTCCAGGTTCTTATCAATCCCTTGGTATTTGGTAACCTTTCAATCCTTTGCTAGGTTCCAGGCTGGTATTAATTTTGTATTGATCTACTGTTGTATTATACTTAGTCTTACGTCATCTGGAGCTGATGATAACATTCATATTTACACATTTCTACTTGACTTTGAACCCAGGCACAGATAATGCTAGGAATGGTTCCCCCGCAAATGGTTTGTTCTGTTTGTCCATGACAGCTATTTTTTATTTATATTTTTCATTGCAATAAACATTTTTCTGGGCAATGACATTGCTTATTAGTAGATTTGAATGATCTTTGAACTGTACAGTTGCAGATGCCAAATATTCGGCAATCTTCTTCCCAGCCAGCACAGTTTTCCCTACAAAGTGGACAACATGCTATTACTCAATATCTCCCTGGACTTCCCCCACTCCCAAGGATGCATCCGAATTTGTCCCATGCACAGGAAAATCAAATCTCTTCTTCCCATCCAAACCATTATCCGGTACTCCCACAAATTCCTACACAAACACAGATTCAGCGTCCACAGCTAACCCAAAACCAAGTCCTTCGGCAAGGCCAACTCCCCGCACAGCCTGGAATTTCTGTTCTTCCCTCTGTGCGTCCACAGGAACTGGGAAATTTGTCAGTTAGACCACATATTCAGCAAGGAACTTCCTCCTCCTTGAACCAGCGTGTGCACACTCCCATGTTACAACATCCAGGTCCGATTGCATCTACTAGTTCAGGGTATGCTGGGCAGATGATCACTCCAAACGCAACATTAAAACCTTCCTCACAGACGCATTTGCAATTTCCGGCTCAAGGGTTCCAGGTGCCAAACTTTACTTGAGCTGCCTTTATGTAAGAGTTGAAATGTCAGTACATAAATCCGTCGTTCCAAAGTGTTGCTTAAAATTCATTTTAACATGGTTGAGTCTCAAGTATGGGATAAGTCGAGTAAAAAATTAGTACAAATCTTCGGAGTTATCAAGTGAAAGATACTGTAGCTTTGTTGAAACATCCATAGGTCAAAAGTCTCAAGTATGGGATAAGTCGAGTAAAAAATTAGTACAAATCTTCGGAGTTATCAAGTGAAAGATACTGTAGCTTTGTTGAAACATCCATAGGTCAAAAGTCTCAAGTATGGGATAAGTCGAGTAAAAAATTAGTACAAATCTTTGGAGTTATCAAGTGTAAGATACCATAGCTTTGTTGAAATATCCATAAGCCCTGTTTGACCCATATTCTATATAAAAAAAAAAATACATTCTTAAAGAGTCAATTGACATCATTTCAATTACACATTTTTCAATAAAATAATATTGCACGTAAATTTAAAAATTTTCCTTATTTTTTAACCATACACTTCCTATCAATACACTATTCAAAAATGCATTCTTATGAAAATAATGTGGCTCAAACAAGGGCATAACATGATTGTACTTGTAGGTTAACTTTCAAATTAATAAAGTTAACATATTGGTTACATTTTATTTAGATGTGAGTAGATTAAAGAGTGGGTAGTTTTATATTTAACCTCAGAATGAAAACTCTTGAATATTTACAATGTGACTAGCTGCAAGTTTAGGAATTAGAACTAATTTTCTATTATAAAATTTCTGGCATAAATTAGTATGCATGCACATTTATTTATGCTGTTTATTGATTTTCTGTTGTTTTTATTTTAATCTAGTCATAGCATGAAACCGAATTTAAATGATACACTGGGGTTCAGTCGAGGTTTTGAAATTTCTAGATTGAGATAAATGGCCTTGCCTTCATTGGAAAGCTTTTATGCTCTCGTTTGATGCTTAAGTAAGACCTACAAAAACAAAAACCAAATTGCAGAGCTAAGCAACCAGAATTTTTTTATGGTTTAATTGTGTCCATGCAGTTTACCGTTAGTAAAATGTGAGGATGAAAGAGTAATGACAAATTCTCTTCTATGCTTCTGTGCCCAATCATGGGAACTATGTGACGTCCTTGGAAGAGTGTAAATTTATAGAAAATGGAGTTAAGTAAGATAGAGACCAAACATATGCGTGTTTTCATCGTAAATTTAAATGGAAATTTCCGAATTTTTCCAGCCAATGTTCTGTTATCAGAAGGGTTGACTCTTTGGACATATTTGCAAGAGTTCCTATGCCCTATAAAGTTGCAGCAACTTTATTGGACATTTTCTGCGTATTGTAGCTGTTGGGCACATTGAACTCTTGTCCGTATATTTTCTTCATTCTCCACATGCAATAAAATGCAAGAGGGGAAAAACTTATTCATAAGAGAACATTATGTTCAACTGTATTTGGAGATAACAGTTCGATGAAATCACAGGGCTACTTTGGGGAGTCAATATGCCTGGGAAACCTAGTTAAACCAAAGAATATGTGTTCTTATGTCTATAGTTGTTCTTTTCTAATACTACCTCCATCCCATAAAGATAGGCTCGTTTCTATTTTCTTATTGATTAAGAAAATGTAATCAATATGGTTGGACATATAATTTTTTTTTGTATTTTTCCTAAGATAACAATGTACATGAAAGAGAAGCATATTAGAAAACCAAAAAATATCTATACTTTCAACAAGGAAAGTGACCTATAATTTGGGAATGACGAAAAGGGAAACAAAGTCTATTTTTATGGGATGGAGGTAGTATGATTTTGGTATCATGTTGCGAATGTGAATCAACATAAAATGGTTTTTGTTTTCTTTTCTATTAGCAGCCTACCTCGGTTGGCACACAGAACAATATGGATCTGAAAGGGCATAGTGTAGACCAAATGAACCACTCATCAAATCTGGCTACACCTGTACCTGGAGCAACCCCAAATTTTGTCAATTCTAGAAAACAAGATTCCAGATCAGAAGGAATTTCAAACTCCCAGAAGCAGGAGGCTGAGGTGATTATTCTCTCCTCAGCAGTATTTTCTCTTTAACATCTTTGCTTGTCGTTCTGGTTGCGAAGATCTGATTTTTACACACTTTCTATTGAGACACACCCTGATCCAAAGGACTGGAGATAAGCTGCATGTTCAAATCCATTAAATTGATTATGTGGAATTAACGTTGACAAGTCACTTTCTTTCCTCAGCAAGAGGACTATTGTCAAATATGTGGCTTTTATTTGTCCAAATTACATTATGTTATATGCAAGCGTAAATCTTATGAAAAGGAGTACTAGCTATGGTATATAACTATCTCTAGATGGTTTTTAAGGTTTTGATCACGTTAGATATAACAGTATGCAAAGGTTCGCTTTAACAAATGCTTCTGAGGAATTCGAAGCAGAAAGATTCCTCCAATTAGTGTAGACACCGATTTTACCTTCATGATGGGAGCTTTTCCTTATGACTGCTCTTCGATATTCTCATGATTGCGTAAGCATTTATGTTGGTTTCATGATAGATGTCATGGTTGACCTAATAGTATGTTCTGTTGATAGTGTTGTCTTTTGTTCTCTTTACAAATGCAGGTACCCCCCGAGATGGAATCTGCCTTAATTCATCAAGTTCTGAGTCTGACACCGGAGCAGATAAGTTCCCTGCCACCAGAACAGCAACAAGAAGTTATTCAGCTCCAACAGATGCTACGGCAGGCTACGTAATTTAATGTTTCACAGTATACGATGTCCCCAGATAACCCAATGGACAAATTTTCCCACTCAAGAGTGTGAGGGAAGGGCAGTGTATTATTGAAACAGTTTTACATTGTCAACTGATTGTTTACAGCTCTAGTCCAGGTTTCTATAGGCTGTAGAGTCATTACATTCTTGTAATATTTATAAGTTTTGATTAGAAGATGAATGAAAAAAACAGAAAATTTTGCCATTTGGTAGACTATGGGTCCTTTTCTTTTCATATATGTTTGTGTAAACTTTCTCAAATTTCAAGTCTGATAGGCTTGATTTGTATCTTGCTACCAATTTTGGTATAATGAGGATTTTTTATTTTATTTTTTTAAATCTTTCTTTGCAATAGTGTGCCAATATATAATAATCTTTTCTGGCTTACACTTTGGATAAAAGCATCCTTTCGCTGTGGTATGTACCTATAACCAAATCTATTGCAGATTTGGGCTTCTCTGGATGCTGCTATATGCTTCCTGTTGAGGGAAAAGATTCTTAAAATCATGCCCTTCTACATCTTGACAAATCAGGTTTCTTATTAGTTTGATTTGCAATGCTAAGGATATTGGATAACTATTAGATTACACGTAACTGTTAATTTCTCTCTTTAATTAATTCCTAAATTATCAGTTAAAATCTCCGTCATTCAGGTATAGGGATCGTGTTTTTTGATCCTTCTTTAGCCTGAAGGGGTGCAATATATTAAAAGATAAAATTCCATATCGAATAGAGATGAAAATACAAACTCTTCTTAATAAGGTTAATATTTTAAAATGGAATTTCAATCCATTAAACTTCAACGAGCAATTTGTTTAAATATTTATTTATTTATTTTTTATATTAACTTTTATTTTTAATGAAAATTTTAAAATAAAATATAAATAAATAAATTTGGAGTGATCTCGAAAAATACGGGGCGAGTCCGGAGTGGGCCCCACGCTTGTCTCTGTAAAATAGACAGTTTGACCCATGTGATAGATTAGCCCAATGCTAAAAGGCCCAGCCCATGAACGAGAATTGTCCAGATGAAATTCTCGAAATTGCCCATTTACATCATCCTGTTCCCAGCGCTTAATCCTTCCGAGGGTTCCATTCACGCAACATTTCACGCATAATTCATTCGCTCTCGTTGAACCGTAAATTTTATTGAAATTATTCTTTCGTTACATATTGAGGAGGAAGTAGCTTTTCGCTTCCTTTTGATTTCGCTTAAAAGACCGTGCTGCCTTGTTACAATATCTTCCAAACAGGTGAGTACTCCGTAATTAAATTTTGTCGTATTAGTTTTTCTTTTTATGATTATCGAATAAGTTTTAGTAAGATGCTATGACCTGCCCAGACCCTAATGCTCCGTCGGGATGCAATTTTTTTAGGGATTTATTATTTTTCAGTTCAACTCTTACTTCCAAATTCTGCGTAGGAGTTTTTATTTCTTATTATTTGCATTTCATTTGAAGCCCTAATCTGGCTTTGTAAGCACATATATGTTATGAGGTTCTGTAAAAGGTTCTTTTGTTTGTGAAATTTTTTGGTAATAATACTGCGTGGGTAATTTGTGCCCATCTCCATTTCTCTGCTCGGATATTTCCAATTGTAGCATAGCCAATGAAAGTTGGGTATTCAGGTATATGAATGAATTGTAAGTTTAGAAACAACGTTTTATGTGTGTATGTAATGT